TAATTCTCAACATCCTAAAACTCCAAAGTCTGACTTTAAACATGGTTGAATCTGATATGTTCAATAAAGCTCATTTTAATCTTAGATATATCTTTTATTTCTTTTAATGTTGTAAAAATGTTCCTCCAGCCAGGAAGTAAAGCTTAAAACCAGAAACACAGAACCATAAACTGGTTTATATGGTCTCCCTCCTCCTGTGCCAGCCGTCCTTTCTCCTTTATAGAACTTATATCTTGATCAAAGTGACTCTAATCTTAGCATGCTAATAGCTAAGATTAGCATGACCCTCCCACAACACCTGATACTCAAACTAGAAAAACCAGGACTGCGGATCCTGTTGTGAAACTGGAGCGACTGCGGCTCTTTATCATGAACAATGTCACGTTAACATGATGTCATGGCGTCTCCTGAGGAATGCAGGAGATAATGTATGGTTACAATCTATGGAATGCAGTCCGGCCTCTTTTTAAGCTGCTGTCTTCTCTCTTCTTTCTTCAAGGTTTTGTCAGTGACACGATTTGTTAGTAATCATTTCCATGGTTTTATTGTTTTGAAGCAGTTCAGTCTAGCGCCAATTCACAACATGTCATCTCAAAGCACTTTCCAGTTCATCAGATCATCCAGTCAGATTGATTCAAAGTTTTCTACCTAAGGAAAACCAGGTGATTGCATCGACTCATTGACTCAAAGGAAATCCCTCAGACTAAGCTGGGCATACGCTGTGTGATATTTTCAATCGTTGCACAAAGCTTCAGTTCAATGTATATGAAGAAACCGCAGGGTTTAAAAGTTCACAGCTCACGATGTATGCTCTCACACTGTGCGACCCGATGCTCTGATGCGTTCTACCTACACTGTACGTCTATAGACCACATGTCAGGGTTTGTCCCGAAAAACCTCAAGACAGCCGACTGCATTTCCAATATGTTTGATTTTTCTCTCGACCTTACGATTCCTGATCCGGTGGTGGTCGCCCCTCGTTACCCCCTGTATACTACAGGACGCACGATGAGAATGAAACTCGGCCCAGTCAAAAAAGTTCTCACACGACTGGAGAATCAGCCTGAAAAGGGACAAAGAACATACAGTGTATGCCCGGCTTAAGCATGCTTGTAGCGACAGTGGAGAGGAAAAACTCCCTTTTAACAGGAAGAAACCTCCAGCAG